TTCAAAGAAGAAGTAGTGAGTGCTGACTAGCCTCCTACTCTCTCTCCTTTGCCTATTTTTCTTATTTTAGAGCCCTTTCTCCTTCATTCCACGAGCCCCTTTGGTCTCTCTCTGGCCACTCACATTCCCATCCTGTTTCCCTTTCCTAAGATCCCTGTGCCTCCAGATGACCTCCCTCTTATTCTCTGTCTAAATGGCCACTTTGAGCTCAAGAAGGTCAGCATATTAAACCAATAATGCTAATTGTAATTCTGTGGATGCACTGCCTTGAGAGTATTAAAAAAACGTAAGAAAGATTTTTGTAGGAGAGGTCTGATGTAGGCTTGAGGTAAGGTCCTGAAATATCCAAATTTTGGAAGCATCCTTGGAGATTCTGATGTACAGCCAGACTGGGGAAACTCTGCTAAATAAACCATTGGAGTGGGCCTCTTGAAGAAGCGGAGGGTTTCCTGTCACTGGAGGTATTTCAGCAAAGGCTTGTTGATTACTCAACAGCTGCTTTGTGTATCTAGTGGTGGTCTTGGGGAGAGGGACAGCTGAATTCTTTCAGAGACTTTTTCAACTCTCAGATTCCAGGCATGTGGTGTAATTAATATGAAGGTATAAATGATCTCTTTTAATGGAGGACCTTCCTTTACCAAAAATGTTTCTGCTGCAGTGGATGCTAATTTCAGGCACTGTGACTAAGTGAAATGAAGGATTTCAAACAATGTAGGCGTGGAGATCTTCCAGTTGTTCCTTAAATCAGTGGCTCCCAAACTTGGCTGATCTTCAGCATCGTCTGGGAAGCTTTTTAAAAATACAGATTTGGGGGCTCCACTCCAGAACTTCTGAAGCAGATTCTCAGAGTGGGCATGGAACCCAGAAATGGGTAATTATTAAAAAACAACAACAACAACAACAAAGCTCCCCGGTGATTTTGATGACCAGCCAAGTCTGGGAATCTCAGTTTCCAACCACACAGTAAACACTGTCTCCTCTCTCTGCCTAGGTCTCCTCTGTCTGAGGTCTCTAGAAAGTTTCAGAAGTAGTTTGAGGACAAGTTATAGAAAACACTTTACCCAGTAGGTATGTAACATATAAAACTTGTTTGACCCAGAAGTAATGCAGATGAAAAACATATTAAAATAGTTCAAGAAGGGATGGAACTTTTGTAGGAATGCCATGATAAGAGGAAGTTAGGGAAGCCATAGACAGAAATAACTTTTTGAGTTCTTGCCATGGTGAGTAATTCCCAAATTATCCCCTTTCAAAGCCTGGAGAGCCAACCACAGAAGATCCCCATTCTTTGAGATTCCGTGGTTGCACCTAAGCAGATAACAAACCTGTTGCTCTCCTCATCCACACTTTGTCATGTTCCTGATTAACTTATTCAAGGGAGGTGCCCAACTGTCAGGTGCTACACTTCAGACCTTGTAGCTTGGTTCTCTCAGTAGGAACTTCAGCTAGTGAGGGGTTCACTATTTGGAGAATTTCCAGAATATATTTCCAGGAATGCGAAAAGCTTCTGACGGACCCTAAAACTGAATAGGTGGTGATTTTGACATTTGGTTGATAGGCATTCCCTCAGGTAGCTGCAGAGGGTGTAGTTAGTGTGGTCATGGCAACGAGACCTGTTCAAGGACCAGGTCATGAGGAAGTTCTGGTCTCAGGCTGGAACTTTACGTTTGAGTGTCAGTTTTGCTCTGGGCTTCAATTGCTGAATGTTTTATTAACCCTCATCCTTGAGGTTCAGGGACACAGTGCTCCTGTGGGCATCAAAGCACATCTCTCTAGGAAATTGTAGATCTCTGACCCCAATCCCAATGTGGTCTTTGATCTCAACTCCCATCTAAGGTCCTTCCTTTAGATTCTTACAGACAATCCCCCCTCTGTCTCTCTTTGGGCCCTAGAAATGATCCTATTGAAGACTAGAGTTCAACATTCTGACAAATAGTGGAGCAGATGCAGAAACTGCAAGAGAAACAGGAAGCTTTTGTGCTCAATCCTGCAATTGGGGTGAGATCTGCCACTGCCCCTACCCCTTGCCCCCAACTCAGGATGGTTTGCCATTGAGGGCCTCTGATTTTAGTTTCTGTTACATCTTGTCTGAATTCCTGGCATTGTGTGTCTACTGAAATGTTGTAAATCACATCCTATTTTCTCATTTTGTTTTTCATCTCAAGATGTGTTATTTCCATTGTGGCCCTGTCACTTAAATCAGTAATTGTTAAATACCTAAATGGTCTAGGGGAAGTTTCTATTTAAAGACATTCTTTTGCATCTGTGTGTGTGTATGTGTGTGTGTGTGTGTGTGTGTGTGTGTGTGTGTGTATGTCTGTGTGTGTTTTGCTAAGTTCCTTCAGTCATGTCCAACTCTTTGCAACCCTGTGGTTGTAGCCTGCCAGGTTCCTCTGTCTGTGGGTATTCTCCCGACGGAAATACCGGACTGAGTGGCCATTTCCTTCTCCAGGGGATCTTACCATATAGAAAGTATCAAGTAGAGTGGTGAACTGCTTTATGTCTCTTTTATATGTTTAAATTTCAAATATGGGATTTAAAAAATAATGAGATGCAGTTTCATTCATCTGCCTTTCTAAAAGTCTCCAAAATTGACTTGGGCTCTCTAAGCCTCCTGTGCTCCTGTTCCTTTTGTCTCTGGATTGTGACTGCATCTCACTAGCATCATCTTCTCTTCTTTTCACCTTACAAAGTATCTTAACCAAATCCCTGATCCTCTCTGCCAGGGATGGGCACATCTGTGACATTTCCTTGACCTTCCTTCTATGAGATTGGAAGGCAGGAATTCCATATCACCCACAAGTTCTGTATCTTTCATCTCCCAGGGACTCATCTTTCCTCCTCTCTGAAATTATCTACTTTTAATCTCCTATTCTCAAACACTGCTTTTTATCATTCTCTTTGCTGTCAACTCTTTATCTGTTTGGTGTGTCATGTTACATATCATGTTATGGCTGCTTCATTGGTCTGTCCAAAGAACAGGAAATGTGGTTAGTAAATGCTAATGGTTGGTAAATATGTGTTAGTAAATGTGGATTAGTAAACTGCTATTTAAAAAGGGGAGGATGTAGGAGGGAGAAAGTTCTTGGGAAAAAGAAAAAGTCTCTCTTAAAACCCTTATCCCCAAGTAACGGAAGACCCATTATTCTGTCTTTGTCGCCAAAGTCCTGAATGTACCATAGAAATGACCAAAGCCGGGCTCTTTCTTTCTCCTCTTCTCTCAGTTAAACTCTCAACCCAGCATTCCTCCTCACAGCACACTGGGGGCCACTAGTCCTATGAGTACCTGTGCAGTGGCCACTAACCAGAGCACCTGTCCAAGAGCCACTGTAACCAGACTGCATGCACAGTGGTCACTAACTAATAAACTCTAGGACCCTCTTTCCACTCCCAGATTCTCTTGGGTGTCATCATCACTCCCCAACCTGAGGGCCTCAGTGACTCGTTCTGGATTAAAGGTTGAAGCACCACCAACATCCTTCTGGAAGCCCTGTTGCCAGCAGCCCACAAGACTGGACCATTGTAGCATCAGGACCATCGGACCATTGTAGATGGGGCATTGCAGCATCTCCAAGGTAGGGAGGATCTGGACCAGAGAGAGATCAGAGTCGGGCAGTTGGGGGGACAGTGCAGGTAGAGCAATGGCAGATCCAGACCTGGAGACTGGGCTTAGCAGCAAGACGGAGGCCCTGCTGGTCCTTCCCTGAGAAGGGAGCTGGCTGGGGACACTGGTGGTCCCATGACACAGTCACGGCACCTGGCTTGTTCCCAGTGGACCTGATCCCTGTGCCCACCTGGGACATTCAGAGCTAACATGGCTTCTGAGAGTCTTTGCTGTGGGGATGGTCCAGGCCATGTGGGGTAGAGGTGATATTGCTGTGTGTCTGCTCCCCTCCCCGGGGTCTCTTGCCTGGCATCCACAAGGTTCACTTACCTCCTTGTCAACTCTCTGATCCCATCCTCCTCTCAGCACTCTGGATGCTCTCTCCCACTCTCTGCTCTTTAGTCTTCTTCCCACCAAAGCCCTTTCTGCCCTTCTTGAATGCAACCTGGCCCTTCTTCCTGCACCTCCACCAGGGGCCAGCAAAACTTAGTTTCAAGGGAATTGTGCCATCCCTTGAATTGGGTGGGAGGGACCTTGGTTTTCTGAAGGGTGCACTGGGCCTGCCCTGGGAGATGGTCACCTTTCTCCCAGGTGCCTTTTGGAAATCCTGCAGACATTTGAGCAGGCTTATCAGGTGACCTATGGTCAAAGCCCCAAGATCGCCACCCTGATGAAACAGGCCAGTACCAGGTGAGTAGATGTATATTTGGAGGGAGGAAGTGGCCTGGGCAGAGAATGTTCTGAGAGCAGGGGAGAATCTATGGGATATGTTAATATGGGAAGGTCTGGGGATGGGGGCCTGTGTGTTGGAGGCTCAGGATAGGCTTTTGGTTCATTTATTCCTATGCTCTTCCATGTGTATTTTTCTCTGATCTCTGGACTTTTTTCACTGTGATCTCTCCTCTCACGTCCTGACCTCTGACCCACCCTCAGCCTGGCGAGAAATGCCGAGTGTACCTGGTTGGCTGGCAGACCCTGGGCATCATTGCCATCACGGATGGAGTAGAGTGCACACATGCCTTTGGTGCCGATGGGACTCTTGTCCAGACTTTCCTCCTGATTCTTCCTGATCCAAACCAATTGGTCTGCTATCCAAATTCTTTCCTACTCCAACCCATGGCGGGGCTCCTTATCCAGTTTTCATCCTGCTCTATCTAGGTAGGTATTCAGTCAAAATGCTCCTTCTTTTGAACTCAGTCCTTGATCCCTTGCTTAGCTATGGCCTCCCATGTGTGTTACTCCACACCCCGCACCCTACTTGCCACTTTCCTCCCAGTCCCACTGACACCTTCCCAAGCCTAGAGCCTTCCTGTCCTATGAAACCTCTCACTCCTCTCTCCCTGATTTCCTAGATTTCCAGTATGTCCATGGATTTCTCACTGCTGATCGCAGTGGCATGTTTAACCAGGAGGCTGAGCTTATCAACCAGGTGGAAAGATGATGGGATGTGGGGAAGTTGGGAAGATAACTAGTGTGCAGAGGGTGGGAGAAAAGAGGAAGTTAGAAACAGATAGGGGAATACTATGGGATTCCTTTCTAGAGAAGGGGAAATGGGTTAAAGGTCGTGAGGCTTGGGGCAGCATGGGGAAAGTGTGGGAAGCTCTGAATTCACCCCTCTAACCTGGCTCTAACGGAGAAGGCAATGGCACCTCACTCCAGTACTCTTGCCTGGAAAATCCCATGGACAGAGGAGCCTGGTAGGCTGAAGTCCATGAGGTCGCGAAGAGTCGAACATGATTGAAGTGACTTAGCAGCAGTAGCAGCAACTGGCTGTAGTCCAGAGCTCTTCCATCAGCTGTGTCATCTTGAACAAAACACTTTTTACTTCTTTGAGTCTTGGTTTTTTATTGTACATCTGTAAATAAAAGCTCTGGACTCAGTCCTCTAAGGGCCTCTTTGGTCTCCAAGTCTGTGTGTCAGAGTTTTTCATGGGAGGCATTCTCTCCTCTTTTTCTGCTCCAGGGTCCCCATTTCTCCTTCTCCCAGGAAGACTTCCTGACTCCCATCCTGCCGTCCCTCACAGAAACTGACACTGTGCTCTTCATTTTCACCCTGGATGGTGAGAGGGAAGGTGGGAATGGTGGGGTGAGGGGATAGAGTCAGCAGAGTGACTCAGAGGAACTATCATTTGTCCAGGTCTTAGGGTGCCTGCTCAGAGGTGGGGGCAGCAGTATGTGTCCTGATTGGGCCCCAGGGGAGGAGGAAGAACTGCCAAAGAGCCAGCCCTTCCACTCTGATGGCCTCTCCCTCTCCTTAGACAACCTGACAGAGGTGCAGACACTGGTGGAGCAGGTGAAAGAGAAGACCTCCAACATCCAACATCCAGGCCTTGGCACACAGCACTGTGGGGCAGTCCCTGTCAGTGAGGGGCCAGCATTGAGGAGGGGGCCCCGGGGAGCAGTGACAGCCAGGTCTTCCTGGAGATGCTACTCCTGCTTCTCTCTTTCTCTCCAGATCCTTCTGAAGAAGCTCTTCCCCTCCATCATCAGCATCACATGGCCACTGCTTTTCTTCGAATATCAAGGGAACTTCATCCAGGTATGAGGGATGAGGAGGTAACGTCTACAGTGAGGGGCACAGAAAAGGAGGGATCCCAGGAATTAGAAAACCCAGCGCTGGGACTTCCCTGGCGGTCCAGTGGCTAAGACTCTGCTCTTCTACTGCAGAGCACAGGTTCAATCCCTGGTTGAGGAATTAAGATCCCACATGCCGTGTAGGTGGTGCTAGTGGTAAAGAACCCACCTGCCAATATAGGAGATGTAAGATATGTGGGTTTGACCTCTGGGTTAGGCAGATCCTCTGGGGAAGGACATGGAAATCCACTCCAGTATGCTTGCCTGGAGAATCCCATGGACAGGAGAGCCTAGTGGGCTACATAGTTCATGGGCTTGCAAAGAGTCAGACATGACTGAGCCATTAACACTTATTACTTATGCTGTGTGGAATGGCCAAAAAGAAACCCCAAAAAACAAAAAAACAAGGAAAACCCAGGGCTGGAGGGTAGAAAGGGTTGTTTGACTTCCACAAAGCCAGCTGGGCAAGTTCTTGTGTTACCAGGTCACTAATCAGAGTTTTCAAGTCAATGGGCTGCTGCATTCAGTTCTCTTGAGAAAAATGCAAAAATACAGGATGGGCCACCAGTCAGCTGACAGATACTCTTTTATCCTTTTTCACAGGTTAATTATCAATACTGCAGTCATCTACACTATGCAGAAGCCTTTGAGGCATATTTTTTTTGCAAGTTGTCCTATGAGTTCACTGCAGATAACAGAACACTGATACAGTCCCTGCTCACTAATGAAATTATGATCAGTACAAGCACTGGTAATAACTGTAGAAATAGTAGTCACTTTGGGTGCACTTTGCAGTTTAGGGTTTGGAGTGAGCACCAGGATGTCTGGATGTCACTTCAGCTCTGCTTTGTGGCCCAAAAGAAAAAGCAGTTTTACACGTCTCTGGTCCTCAGTTTTCGCAGACAACATCCCTTATCCTCCAAGGGGCAGAACCAGGCCCCTGAAGGGTGGTGGTGGTGCTGGAGAGATGTGGTCTCATCCATTATTCAAACCACTTCCTCCAGGAAGCTTCCCAACTTGACCAGACAACAGCTGGCGTGCTCCTTACCTGCCCTCAGAACTCAAAGGAGGTCCCTCTCTGAGCAGGGAATCCACACTTCTTTCAAAGTGTATCTTTGTCTTTCCTTCTAAATGGTGTTCATTCATCATATCCCTATTTCTCTTGGCATGCTTTCCACATTCACTGCTGCTTTTGAGCTCTCACATCTCTCAGAAGTCTTTTCTGATTACACCCACCTTGTCTAGACCCCTTCCTTTTACATTCGTTATCTACTTCTTCAGACTTATAGGTTCCATTGCATAGTCATAATACCTCATACACAGAGACCTTTGCACTTTACAAAATATTTCATGTATGTTATCTCAGTTCTCTCTCTTTTTTTTTTAGGTATGAGAAGAACTTTATTTGAGAAAATGAAGGGATGAAACAGAGTTGTACAGAAATGTCTTTTCCATTGTTCTCAGTTCTCTTAACAGTCTCCTAAGGATTGTGTTTAATGTCCCCATTTCCCAAATGAGAAAGCTGAAATGAAGACATTAAAGGGTTGTAATCATGACTACACAACTAAGACGGGAATCAGGCTTTTAAAAAATTAACTATTATTATTTTTTGCTGCACTGGGTCTTCATTGCTGCAGGTGGGCTTTCTCTAGTTGCGACGAGTGGGGCCTACCCTTCATTGCGATATACAGCTTTCTCATTGCTGTGGCTTCTCTTGTGTAGCACAGGATCTGGGCGTGTAGGCCTTGGTAGTTGCAGCGTGTGGGCTCTAGAGTGCAGGCTCAGTAGTCGTGGTGTGAGGGCTTAGAAGCTCCACAGCATGTGGAATCTTCCTGGACCAGGGATCGAACCCATGTCCCCTACATTGGCAGGTGGATTCTTATCCACTGCACCATCAGGGAAGTCCAGGAGTCAGGATTTGAACCCAGTTTGAATCCAGGTTTTGTGACTCTGAATCCGTGGTTTATTTCACCATATGGTATAAATTTCAACCATGTTCATGAGTTGTGTGAGATTCTTTTATTTATTCATTCAGCAAATAGTTTTAGAGTACCTGTCACATGTCAGGTACTATCCCAGGGGTGGGGAATGACAATCTGTGATATTTTAAAGAACTGTATTTTTAAAGAAAATTGTAACTATGATAGCAATATATTTTTTTATTGTCAAAACTTTCAGAAATACAGAAATCAAAGAGGAAAAAAACCACCCATAATCCATCTTCTTCCAGGAAAACCCCTCAGACAAATTTTAGAGAATATCCCTCTACTTTTTAGTGCATATGTAAAATAGTTATATAAAAACAGTTATCATACTTGACATGCTGTTTTTAACTTGCTTCTCTTTATTTAAAATTATAAACACCTTTCTGTACCAATGTTATTTACCTCATAATTTTATTTATTTATTTATGACTGTGCTGGGTCTTGGTTCCTTTGCATGAGTTTTCTCTAGTTGCGGCGAGTGGGGGCCACTGTTTGTTGTGGTGCGTGAGCCTCTCACTCTGGTGGCCTCTCCTTTTGCGGAACACAGATTATAGAGCACAGGCTCAGTAGTTGTGGCCCACGGGCCCAGTTGCATCCACGGCATATTGAATCTTCCTGGACCAGGGGTAGAACTTGTGTCCCCTGCATTGGCAGGTGGATTCTCATCTGCTGCACCACCAGGGAAGTCCCTACCTCATCATTTAAACTTTTATTTATTTACTTATTTAGTTATTTATGGCTGTGCTGGGTCTTCTTTGCTGTGTGCAGGTTTCTCATTGAGGTGGCTTCTCTCATTGCAGAGCACCAGCTCTAGGGCACTCAGGCTTCAGTCATTGTGGCACGTGGGCGCAGTAGTTTTGGCTCTGGGCTCTAGAGCACAGGCTCAGTAGTTATGGCTCACGGGCTTAGTTGCTCTGAGGGACATGGACTCTTCCTGGACCAGGAATCATACCCATGTCTCCTGCATTTGCAGGTGGATTTTTTACCACTGAGCCACCAGGGAAGCTCTCTGCTTCATCATTTTTAATGTCAGTATAGTATTCCTTGGAATGGATGGACCATCATTTTTTTATTCTAACCCTAGTCATCAGGTGTTATAGTTTCAACATTATGGCTTTTCTTAAAATGCTGCACAGAATATCCTTATACACACATTTGACACTCTCATTAGTATAAACCTCCAAAAGTGGAATCACTGGGTTAAAGTATGCCTAAAATTTTAAGGCTTTTTGATGCATATTGGTATCTCCAAAAAGGTTCGTAAACAGAGGGTAAAATTAGTTGTTCCCCCATACCCTTAAAATACTGGGTAGCATTGTTCTTTATAATCTTCAGTAATCAGCAGAGGAAAAAACAAGAGGCATTGAAGTGTGAATTTATATTTCATTACTATGGAGATTGGCTGCTTAAAGATATCTGGTCGCCTTTGAATATGTGTATATATATATTTTTTTTTTACTGCACTCTGCAGCATGTGGGATTTTAGTTCCCATACCCAGGATTGAACCCACGCCCCCCTGCATTAGAAGCAATTTTTATTGCTTCCTGAATATTTTTATCTTTTTATATTGCTTCTTCACATCTTTTGGGCATATTCACCCATTCTTTTTTAGGGTATTTTTTTGTTACTAATTTATAAGAGGGAGTATTTATAGCAAGGATGGTAGCCCTTTTTTCCCATTCTATATTTTCCCCTGGTTTATTATTTTTAATTTCTATGTTTCTGATGTAGAGACATTTTATTTACACTTTTTTACATAGTCAGATCTATCAGTTTTTTTGTATGTGTTTGTGTGGTTTTTGTCTTTTGCTTGATTCTGGTTTTTTATCTTTTACATGTACCGACATTGTTTAAAATAAAGAGGCTTCTTTTAAAGCTTATAAATCTTTAGTTGTAGAAATATTTTTGATGTAAAATCTGCCCACACTTTTATTTTGAAAACGTTCAAATCTGCAGAAAAATTGCAAGAATAGTACAATGAACCCCCATATGCTTTTCGCTAGATTACCAGTCATTAACATTTTGCCACATCTGCTTCATCTCTTTTTTCCCCTGAATCATTTGAAATGTAATTGGAGATATGAAACTTGACACAAATTACTGTGTTCCCTAAGAACAAAGGGCATTTGTCTCCATAATTACCACATAATTATTGCTCGAGAAAATGACAATTAATACAACATGATTATCTCATATACAGACTATATTCAGATTCCCCCAATTATTCTTGTATTGTTTTTATCTTCCAGATCCAGGATCTGATCAAGAACAATGTGTTGCATTGCATTTCATTATGTTTCTTTAGTTTCCTTTAATCTGGCTGAGTCCCTCAGTCGTTTTTTATGTTTTTCATCAAAACAGTGATGTTTTAGAAGTCTAGACCAATTGTTTCCCAGTATGTGCCTCACTTTGGATTTGCCTGATTGTTTTTTCATTATATTCACCTTAAATTTGGGGGCAGGAATCCAGCATAGATGTGGCTGCTCCTTTATCAGTGTATCACATGGGGAGGTTCCTGATATCAGTCTGTCCCTTTGTTTGGTGGTGCTATGTTTGATCATTTGGTCAAGGTGGTGTCTGTCAGGCTTCTTTTTATGTTATTCCTCAGCATCTTTCACCCATGATTTTAGCATCCACTGATGATTTTTCGTTGAATCAATTATTACTATGACAGTTTTCAAATGGTGATTTTTCTATTTCTACCTTTCTGTCTACATTTATTGGTTGGCATTCTTCTGTGAAGAAAAATCTCTCTCCTCTCCCCATCTTATCTACATTTATTTAGTATTAGTGTAAACTCATGAATTTTTGTTGCTCAGTG